TCTGGTACAATAAAGCAAGTAATGTCACATCAAAGAGTGGCATTCATTTGCAACATTTTATACTTTTCAGATTGTGTGTGTGTGTGTGTGTGTGTGTGTGTGTGTGTGTTTGTAGGCAGACATGTACTGTATACATGCATGGCTGTGAATGCATGCATGAACACGAATGAAACAAATCCATCAGCTGTCCACTGGGTTTTGGTTTGTGTACCACCAGGAGCACCCATTAACAGAAAATAAATGCCCGACGCCATAAAGCTGACAGTGTCTCATTCATACTGACACTCTGGCTAAATTACACATAAAAGCACTGATAACATCATCATTAAATATTGATTTTAAGGGTGGTTGAAAGAAGAAGAAAAAAAGAAAGACATCCACACATATTCTGCAGATGAGGGGATTTGGATGAGAGTCAAAGCAGATGGAGCAGAGTGTAAGTAAAGAAAACGGTGGCTACTCGTGGGAGAAAGATGGACAGAAGAGAAGCAGGAAGAAGAAAAAGGAGAGAGTGAGAAGGAGTGGGTGAGGAGCAGAGGGAGGTAAGGGCCTGGGAGGGGTAGAAAGAGATTTAAGGCTGAGGCTCAGAGCAGATGTTAGCGCTGATGATGATGGATGCAGGTTGTTGAGATGCAGAGTTGTTATCATGAGAGGCACTCGCAGCCTCCTCGCAGCACACTTTCCTCCCCAGATGTCACTGCGCGTGCGCGCGTGCGCATGCGTGCACGCGTATGCGCGTGCGTGTGTGTAACACGACAGTGGAGAGGGAGACGCTGAAATGAGCAAGGCACACGGCCAAATCGGGCTATAGCAATAAATATCTACTTGGTTTTCAATGAGGAGCTTGGATTGAAAAATTGTTTAATGCAAAAAAAACCTATATAAGTGATCACATCAATGAACAGACGCAACGAGACACAACGGAGGGACTGATTTGTCACAGATGAGGCTGATGAACAGCTTTCTTTCTGCACTCTACGCAGACCTAGTGGAAAGCAACCTCTGAAGGTCTAAATTGAATTCATTTGATGATGTTTCATCTTTTAGAGACATTTTCTTGCATTAAACCACATATCACTTAGCTACCACATCAGTGCAATGATCCAAATTCTTTAAACACAAGTTTGCTGCAAACACACAGGCAGCAGCTGGTGTGCGTGCGTCCGTGCGTGTGTGTGCGTGCGTGCGTGTGTGTGTGTGTGTGTGTGTGTGTGTGAATGGGACATGCTGAGCGGTAACCTGCTCTACACTCTAACCAGATAAAAGGTGCAGGGCAGAAACACGCCGGTAATTGATTGCTAATTAGTTCCTTTGTTGTCGTCCATTGTGTCCTGACAGAGCTTTGCCCCGGGCTGTCTATTCACCGGCAGAGTCTGTGGCCTCGCAGCGAGAAAATAAGCATCGCCATGTCCGTAATGAGCGAGAGTGGTGTAACCCCAACAGGCGATAAGAGCTGCTTTACAAAGCTGCATCCCCGCTACTGAACTCTTGGATGCAACTGGAGGACATGACAGTGTAAACGGTGGATTTTGTTTTGTTTTTCATTCACTTCACAGGCATCCTCAGACAAAAAAAAAGGCTGAAATTAAGCTCCCCCTAAAACTGTCCAGCTGCATTGTGCTTTACAGTATGTGCTGCAGGACACTCTGTGACATGCTATACCCACATCATCTCTCTCTCTCTCTCTCTCTCTCTCTCTCTCTCTCTCTCTCTCTCT